CTAATGATAGCTTGAAGGTCTTTTGTAATGCTATTATTGCCTTGTATGAAGAACAATACCTCTGCTTATTGAATGAAAATGACATAGCACGTCTACTTGAAGAAGGGAAGTCAAGAGGTTTCCCAGGTATGCCTGGGTCTTTAGATTCTATGCATTGGGAATGGACGCATTGTCCCACAGCATGGCATGGAACCCATAGGGGCTACCCTTATATTAGAGGCAGTTGCATCAAAAGACCTATGTATCTAGCATGTTTTCTTTGGTATGTCAGGTTCACACAATGATGTGAATGTCTTAGATCATTAATTGATATTTGACAATCTCATACATGGTAAAATGCCGTTGATTCATGGTTTTAAAAACTGGACCGGACCAGCGGGTTCAACGGGTTGAACTGTCGACCGGTCGGGGTTTCGGTCCGGATACACCCACTGAACCGGTCATAGTGGAAAACCGGCCTATTTTGAAGGAACCGGAAAAATCGGCAGTCGAACCGCCGAAGTTGTTGATAGAACGAATTTTTTGTGTTTTTTTTATTCTTTCTTTCTTTGCTTTCTTTCTTTCTTATTTTATATATATATAATAAAAATTTAATTGGAAACTCTCTTTCAAGGGTCTCCTCTTGTGAGGAATCCCATTGAGAGCTTGAAATTATTGTGAAAAATCTCATTAAGAATTTGAAATTATTGTGAAAGTCTCTACTTATTTATAAGAAAAAAATTCTTCCAAAAAAACTCAAGAAATCTATGTGAGATTTAATCAAATTTATTGGAAAGAGACTTGAAATTTTGATATCCTTCCAAAATTTTTGCTCCTTTCAATTAAATTATTTGAATTAAAATCATATGGAGGGAATATTGAATATTTGATTTCCTCTTCCAAATTAAAATTAATAACATTTTAAAATATATTATTATATTTTTTAGTAAAAAAATATTAGGAGAAATATTTAAGATAATTTAATATTTTCAGTTTTTTTCGTTTTTAATTTTATTTCTTATAATTTTATTTAAATATATTTATAACGTCACAGTTCGATTCCGATTCAACTAGACGATTGAACCGGTGACCCGTTCACTCAATTTATTTTTTAAGTTGCTCACTGATCCGATTTTTAAAACATTTCGAATCACAAGTATATATCATCAACAATCTAATTTTCCTTTCGTTTTGACTATAAACATTTTTGAAGTTTTTGTTTTTTTATAAATAAAATTTACACGTATACATGTCATTTCTATACCTGTCGTCCTTTGAAAATAATCGACGATAGTCTAATTTGAAATGTTGTGAAAAATGTTCTTAGAAATGTCTCCCCCATTTGTTGACATTTTCATAACTTCAAATTTGTGGTCTAGAAACCTTTTTCCTTAGCTATTTTTTCTAGAAGATGCACGTGAATTATTGAGGGGGAGAGAGTGAGAGAAGTGTGATCCTCAAGCATGTGAAAAAAAAAAAAAAAAAAAACAAAAAAGGTTTTGAAATGCACAAGCAATGGTAAGACCAAACAAAATATATAATATATAATAATAATAAAGATCCGAGCACGCACTATAAGACTCTGCGCCACACGAGCCACTTATATTAACCTTTACCTCTCACAGATATCCGGGAGTCTCCTGTATTATATACTACTACACACAATGTGTTCTTCTTATTGTTGGGCTCTTTACGCAGATTGCTGGTACAGGGGTCTGTCTGATGTTTTTAAGAAATTCGTTTAACATCCTAAACAGAAAAGAACAGATAAAAGAGAGAGGATTATATATATTTGGTGCTGTATGCAGCAGATGTGAGATAAAGGAATTAAATGCACTAACAAAAACTCTAGGAAGAATAGTGTGATCTAATCTCACAAAATCTTGACAATAAAATAGGCGTTGAGATCCCTTAAGGTCCAAATATTAATTTGAGAAACTTTGAGAGAGTAGTGGGAGTCACATGAATCCCATTTCGATTACGAATTATTGATGACAAAAACATTAAATTTCAATTTGAATAATTACTGTATTTTTTTTCTTTCATCGCATTTTTTATGAAAAGTTAACACTAATAATTGTTAACACTAATGAACCTTAAAAATAGGCGTGTTCACATTGTGTATCACGTGACATTTATATGCTAGGCATACGAATACTTCCATTAACGTCTAATAAAATCGAATCATGTTCTTCCAATATAGATAAATGGAATTCAAATACCTTTTGTTTTTATTTTCTTGCAGCAGTGTAACAAAGATTAGTACAACCAACTCTATAAATACAATATTAATCGCAGCAAAACAATTAAAACCAAGGCATCAACAAAATTATTTTTTTTTCTGCACCCAATAGCTATTAGTTTTATGTATACAAGAACGGAGAAGAATTGTGCTATATTGAATATGTTTATGTATTGAATGTTATATGAATAAAGAGTTGTTAACACTCTCCGTTATATAAGGAGAGAAAATTACAAACATCATATGCAAAAAGTGGATCCAGCTAACCGAAAGTAAAGGCACTACATCTAAAGCCTAAAAAGCAATAACAAACATATATTAACAGCCCCCCTCAAACCAAGGAGGATAGGTACTAACCACTTGAGTTTGGAGAGAGTAACAAAACACGAAAAATAACACTGATAAAAATCAAAATTAAAAATGGGATAGGACACTCGTGTGGTCAGTGTCAGACCGATGTAGACAGACAGTTTATGGGCGTCGTGTCGGACCGTTGTGCAGACAGTTTTACGGGGTCAAAAAATGTCGGACCGGTGTACGCAGGACACTGTGTGGTCGTGTCAGACCGACTGTAGAGACAGTTTATGGGGTCGTGTCGGACCGTTGTACGCAGACTTAAAACGGGGTCATTCCGGACCGTTGTCCGCAGGACAACTGTGTGGTCGGGGTGTCAGACCGATGTAGAAGACCAGTTTTATGGGGTCGTGTCAGACCGTTGTTACGCAGACAGTTACGAGGGTCATGTCGGACCGAATGAGCAGGACACTGTGTGGTCGTGGTCCAGACCGATGTCAGAAGACAGTTATGGGTTCAAATGTCGGACGTGTAGATAGAACAGTTATGGGGTCATGTCGGGCACCGATGTAGACACGACAGTTTACGGGGTCATGTCGGAACCGTTGTAGCGCATGAGGTTGCTGGTGGCTGCACCAAGGGGGGCGACTTACGGGAGCTACGCCATAAGCGACTTATACATGATACTGTTTATAACCCCCCCTTCAAACTCAAATCGGTGTGAAGATAAAAACCTATTTTGAGGTTGAAACAAGGGATTTGATAAAGCTGACCGGTGTAGAAGACACTTTATGAGTGTGTATATAAGGCCAGCTTCCAAAAAAGATTATACAAGGGATATAGATCATCGAGCCCGTCAAAAGTCATTGCGCCTCAAACGATGTGCCCAATCTGTCAAATAGGACGTGCCCGATGTCATCAAAAGGCGTGCCAAGATATGATGCGCGAGGCAAACGTGAGTGCCTTGCCTGGCGTGCCCGTTTTGTCTGGCGTCAAAGCAGGCGCGCGAATTCGCGTCGGCTGCCTCGGCTATTTTAACCAAGACGGAGCTTGAGGCCAGGCAGAAGACAAACAATTGCGAAGAAAAAACTTCGTGAAAAACCGCTTCGTTGTGCTGAGAGAGATAGTCTGTAACAACATCTGTTTGGCGAGAGATTGGCTTCGTCGCCCGTGTGGTCTGCTGACTCTCTTTCCCGACCTCAACGAGTCAACAAGAGAGATAACGGGTTGCGGTGCCCGGTAACCTCACCAAACACCACTGGGTTTGCTCCGTTGACTTTCGATGCAGTCGGTGAAAGCAAAAAATGGCAGTGCCAAAACGGATTGTGGAGGCGAAATCAAGTCATACGTTGAAGGCATGCTGGTGAGTCCATGACGCGGGTTCACAAAACTTGCGCACCGGCTTGCAAGTTAGGACAATGAGGTGCAGCAATTAAACGCCAACTGGCGCTGCTCCAACGCATGTATAAGAATGCGTGAGCAGAGATAAGTGTGTTAAATAGCACGGAAAACAAGGAGCTAAAGCGGAAAGGCCACCGTGATGTTTTCCGATTTGGAGGGCCGCCATATGCTGTAGTGGAGGAGCACGGGACAGTCAGTGATCATAGCCCAGTGGACGTGGGAAACACGGAGCAACACCGGCAAGGGCCGTCCAAGACGGAGCAAGAAAGAAAGAGACCCGGCGGCAGAGTAGAGAAGAAAAATCCCGCCTGTGGAAATGAGGTTG